TCTCCTCTCCTATGGTTAAGACATTAGTGGCAACAGTATCCAATTTTTTTCAGTATCTTTGCAGAAAATTCGTCGAAATGCTGTCTGAATTCCGTGACTGATTCAGCCGTAGCGTATGCTTGCGTGGCAGCTGGAATGTCGGGTGTGTCCGTTTTGCTAGCCGCATCGGTAACAGTCTTAGATCTTGGCATTTTTGTAGGTTTTGGAGGTACGAAACGAAATGTTATAACGAATTTATCCGTAGAATGTATCAAACTTACTTGCAAACTGAAAATTTGTTCAATATTCCTTTTTGTAGAGGCGGATTAAGTGAGATTTTCCGTCAGATTTTAAGAGCGTTAAAAATCAGTCCTCCATGTTCCAAATAGCGCCCTCTAATATATGAATATAAATATATTTGTTTGAAATTCGAATGAATTAAATGTTGTGGTAGAAATTGCATAGTCAGATGGATAGTGTATTTTCTTTAATAACAGAAACAGAGACAATAACAGAAACCAATAAAACAAAAAATACTCAGTTTTTATATAGCGCAAATTACAATTAAGTCTCTAAGCGCTTTCAAACTTGGAGATTATTACCGCGGTTTTAGCTGTGCTGCCATTACAGCGCTTTAGCATTTCAAGGTACCCATTTACAATACCTGGGTTGAGTGTGGCAAATGTAGATCAATGTCTTGCCAAAGGACATTAGTGCCGCGGCGGGACTCGAACCCCAACTTGTGATCAACAGTCCGGCGACGTAACCACTCGACCACGACCCGAAATCTGAGAATTATATAATCAAATAAATGCTACAATGAATTAAACAAATTATACTTTGTAGGTAAAATGCAGATTTTGTTTTGTCTTTGGACCAATTTAGTAAAAGGTAGGGTAGTACATAAAAATGATTTTCGCATAAAAAACATGGTCAAAAGGTTGCCATGGTAATGATCGATATATCAATAAAGAAGCAAACAAGATTTTGCACAATTAAATCTGATTCAGTTGATCCCATGATTGGTATCATTCACGTATCATATTTCAAATTATACATTTAAGGCTTTGGCATTTTGCAAGATTGTGAAAGCATCCGTATGAAATATAAGAGAGATAGAGAGAGAGAGAAAGAGAGAGAGAGGGAGAGAGCGAGAGGAGAGGAGAGGCAGAGGAAGAAAGGGTACAAAAGGTAATAGTGAGACTGAGAAAAGATTAGCGATCGCATGCTTGTTCCCATGAGGAGATAGAGAGAGAGAGGGATAGATGGTGTTCAACGAGTTCATATTACGAATTTTCACGAATTTATATTAATAATCACAGTTAAAAACAGGGCAAAGTGGGGGTAAGTTGGTTGCAGAACATTTGAAGAGTCGTCAATAGAAGAAAAAAAAATACAGGTGGCGCTCTTCCTATTGAACAGTTTTTTCCAGCAAGAGTCGCGAAGTGTCACATAAATGTTGGCCTGCCCTCAAACATGTTTTCTCGACTCTCGAGAAAAAGGCCGATGACTCAGATGACCCCCTCTCTAGTAATAGATGAGATGTTGCTCTTTGCGAGAATAAATAAGGTTCCGAGATGCATTTACTCCAAGTCTTTGATGATACAATATAGAGAAAAAATAATAATGAACAATCCATATTGCAAATTTGCGATTTCACGTATTTTAAAACTATATATGTGCATACGTTTGCGTACTGAACGGTCTGAAAATCATTTGCGAGCAAGCATAGTGAGTGAACATTTAAACAAAAGCAAATAGCAACAAATTGTTATACGAATAACAACACATTAATACACAGTATTCAAGTTTTATTAATACACGACAAATTTGAACTCCTACCTTGCGTCACAAAATAAATGTTCCCCGAAACAAAAACAAAACTCAACTAATTTGGGAAAATTTGATAACCATTTCTTCGATAAAGATTCCCTAATTGATGATACCGGTACAATTCGCCTCGTGTATGCTAGTATTTGTTTTAATGGGCCACATCCATGTGTTAGTTTGCTAGGACAAACTCTTTACAGTCGCTGTACGTAACAGTGTCTGCACGATGAGACCAAGGAGCTGTGTGGTTGAAGCTCCTTATTGAGGCTAGGCTGACATCATACTACATAGGGTCTGTAATGTATGACACTGTCAGAGACTGACAGAATTAGCCGAATTTGGCTCTGCTAAAGGCTTGAGTTTAGGAATTTAAGTAAAGTTTGAAATCAAACTCTGTGCGTGCCTGCAGGCTGCAGACTACGGATGGTGAATGACTGGGAGATGTCAGTGTCTTGCTTTCGTAAAACTCTAATATCACAAATGTATACACTCTCATCCTCAGCATCATTTATTATATATATATATATATATATATATATATCTCTATCTCTCGCCTTGTCTCTCTTTCTCTCTCCCTCTCTCCCTTTGTCTCTTTCTCTCCCTCTCTGTCTGTCTCTATATCACACTTTTCCTGGATCTCCTGTGCTGTCTGCACTATTATCCTCCCTACCTCTCTTCTATATTTCCCTCCAGCCCTATGATGATTGTGGAATAGAATGTTAAGCGAATTTTATGAATTGTATTAATTTGTATATATATATGTGTACACTGATTTATTTAAAATTCAATCACTGCGTGATATGTCTCAATACGTTTTATGTTTGTATAAATATTTATGTTTTTACAATGTACAAAGTTCTGCAATTCAACCATCTGGCTGCAAATGAATTTTTAATAAAACCATTACCATTACCATTACCATAGTTAATAGAATAATCGTTTTGAACTTTGAACCGAGGTTATTGCCTTTTTGTAAATATTATGATACATGTATATAATTCTTTATCTTTTTATTTAGTGTAAAATACCAAAGCTTTGTATTTAATCATAGGACATATTTTAACCTAGATGTAGAATAGCTTGTAGCTTATTGTATTCAATAGTTATTCATACTTATACATTCCATTTTCATTCATTGCTGTGATACTATTGTGTGTAAGTGGTACCAGACACGATCAGCATTACATGCTATTTTCTGGTCCTATTTATCCTTTCAATGTTAAACGTTCATAATTGATTGTTATATTAATGTGCTTTTTGTTTGGATAATAAAGCTTCAAACTCAAACTCAAACTCAGATAGAAATGTAGATATAAAGATAAATAAATAATATGATAGATAAAGGGATGAACTGAAAGAGAGGGACAGATAGATAAATAGTTGGATACACAGATATATAGATAGATGGATGGAAAGATAGAAAGAGGGATATACAGATAGATAGATAGATAGATTCGATGTATAGATATATAAACAGATAAATGGATGGATACATAAATAGTTAAGTTAGGAAGAAATAATGAAATATTCGTTGGAAAAACAAAACATTCATTTTCGGCTTAAATCTTTTGTCCAGTAAAGACACATTTATTAAATCCAGCGTTCTTTGAAACCTGACAAAGGGGTACAAGAGTTGCTAAGAGCAGACGTAAAACAACAAGGATAAGCGTGTTATAAAAGATGACGAAGCAATGTCAAGACTGGGTATTGCAAATGAAAAGGGAGGGAGAAGTACTAGAACGACAAAACAGAGAAAACGCCTAGAAAGGCGTGGAAGAAAAGGAAAAGAAGAACGGAAAAGGAACGCGAGAGAGAAGAGAATATAGAGGAAGAAAGAGAGGGAGAGAGGGGGAGGGGGAGGGCGGGGGGGGGGGGGGGAAACGAGAAAAAAATATTCTTAGATATATATATATATATATAGTTAGATAGATAAAAAGATAGATAGATAAACAGATAAAATGGATATATAATACAGATGGAGAGTTAGAGGCAGAACTTTCAGATAATTCGCAAATAATTTGTATACATCAAATTATATTGACTTATGGACATGCTTAAACATAATAAAAATGTTTCACTCTCATAAAAGAGATGAATTACATCGATTGGTATTCCATGTATAGCAAGGACTATATAGGTAATATAAATGCTCTTAACAAAATGCTGTGGAGTTTACATTCAGTGGCTGTTCTTTGATAGTAAAACCGATTGGTCGTCACGCTTAAGGTGACTCACAAAATTTTCCCGGAAGAGTCGACCATTTACCCCCTTTTGTGTATTGATACGTCGTTCGCTTGCAACGCCGGTGCAAATAATGAAAGTCTGTTCATAAATTGGCTAATTCAGAGTTATCTCATCCTTATGAGGAGCTTAATTCAGAAAGGAACTAAATCCATTTTTGATGAAAACTGAGTTTTTGATATCAGAACATTGTTCACTTAAGTACCCGTCTTTCAATACAATTATTTACCTAAATTTGGGGAGCAATTATGACAAAATACACCTTCTTATCCATGTATCACTTTTCCATAGACGCTAGTACAAAATCTGGTAAACAATTTCTCAGAAGTAACATTAATGGATTTAGCTCCTTTTGGAAAAATGGTAAAAATGGTACTGCGATTCCGCCTTAGTGGTAAGAAAGTGTTTTGAGTATAATGAATATCTTTAATCTTTGAATAGCTGGATGTAGGTTATACAGATTCTTCATGAATGTGAATGATATTTTACATGCATTTTTGATCGACCAGAACTTACCACCTGTATACAGTAGAGCTTACAATACCAACATAGGAGTTGCTTAATTTGTCAGACCGTGGACGTGCTGTAGCGTCACAAGGAAAAGAAAGGTAATGTGCAGTTGTTGTATGAAAGAATGCAATTTTTTGGTGAGCATGTGCTGAAATGGTGGAAGTAACATACAAATGTCTCTTGTTAGCTCACTAATGATCGATATATATATATATATGATGTCACAAGATGAATGAGATCTTGAGCATTTATTTAGGGTGCAGCTTAGCAGGTCTGAGAAAATTATTAAAAAAATTATCTAAAAATCTATGAAATATATTTTGCTGTTTGAATACAAAAATATGAGATGTATGCAGCTATGTATATCAAAAGGAATTAACTTTTACTCGGATGTCACCCGAGCTTTAAAGACCTTGACCGGAGCGTACATAACCATACATCCACAGACGGCTAATGAAACACAAAATACAAATACAAGAAAGAAAAAATTAAATACCCTTTCATTACTGAGAAAAATGAAAATTACAGTACAACTGCCGCCCCCTCCCAAATTCGCCTCGGTCAAGAGCCCCCGCGCCGCACGGACTTGGGTGACGTCATTCCGTGTAGACTCGAATTGTTTGCTATAATTCTTCGCCGCGCGATGTTCGAGATCTACATTGATTTTGCGTACCGTGAATCCTTTCTGCCTTTTATCGATTGAAGTTTGAGAAGTTTTGAGAAGTCTTTCTAAAGAGAATGGCTACCCCAGTCGTCAGGGCAGATGCACAAGATGATTTAGTTATGGAATTTGAGTGTGAGGAGGATGGCAGTTGCGGGGAAAGCGGTGAAAATGACAGTGTCAGTGGTAGTAGTGACAGTCCGGACAGTGGCAGCAGCAGTGATACTGACAGCGATGCAAGTGATGCAGACGCCGGAGAACACGGGCGTATCGTCGAGTGGGAGTATGAGCCTTTACCTCGTGGTGAACCTGGGCAAAATGTTGGCGATGCTGGAAGGGCCAACAACGCAAATCGGCTTCATGAAAATGTCGAGGATTGGTAATTAAGACTTATAAGCTTATTGAAATTGTTGTGCATTCTAAATATTTATTCCCCCAAAAAATTGAAATCAAATACCGTAGATCTCTAGACTCAGTCATAAATGGCATGTCTAATTCTAAAGTTAACTTGTTAGAATGATTCTCTAGATCTATGTCTGCGCACCTAAAATTCGACCTCGATTTCATTACACAGTAAGATATTATTTTTAGAATCATCATTGTTATTCCGTTCTTCATATTCTAATGATTACTGAAACAAAAAAACAAATTATTCACAAGAACAATTTTTTTTAACGAATTTCAGACGGGCTCGTCATCTTGTGTAGCAAAACTGAAAAGTGCCCATGTCTGCGCACTCACTATTTTGCACGCAATTCAATCAAGCACAGTGAAGTTTCATACCAGGGACAACCCCCTGTTCAGACTTTTCTTTTTTGACAATGATTGAAATTTTCAGGGTGGCAAATGAAACTTGCTAAAACTCATTTTTAATCTTCCCAATTATTTTCACAAATTTTGGTATCTAAATGAATTGTTGAGGTTAAGATTGAAAATTGGTGTCAGTTTGATGTTTTGTTCTATAAATATCGCGCATTTACGTGGGTGCGCAGACATAGGCACTGCCTTGGGCACTCTTACCATACTACGACTACGAGAACGATGTCATTTTTATATTTATCAGGAAGCTGTAATAAAATATTTATAAAATTATAGTAGGTGTGTCGATTTTTGTTTGAATCTTTCTGTATTTCAAGGTGTACATGTGGAAGATGTCGTGTGCCTCCATCTTTCAATGAAGGTGATTGTGTCTGTTGTCAGGAAATTGCAGAGGTCAAGGCAGAGGCTGATCGACAGGGTTCAAGTTGTCTGGTGGATTCTGAGGAGTTTGAGCCGGCCATCCTAAATGCGACAACATTGTACATCGGATGGATGGAGTACACAGATAGGTGGCGCCGAGCAGCCAAAGCATTTGGGGACAGGAACAATGAGTAAGTTATGTTTCTCCTTTTCATCATTTTGGCAAGGGCAAAAATATAAATGGATTGATTTTGAAAGTTTATTGGGTGAAACTTTTCAAAACGAATTGAGTCACCGCAAGATGAATTACTAGTTTTGACCAAAATTCTTGCCTGGTGACCACTGGTGTACTAGCTGCCTTATCTGCAGGTGCTTCGGGGCACTTTTTCAGGAAATGTATACAAATAGGCAAGAATGACCACCGATTTGTGAGTTTTAGCATGTTACCCCCCCCCCCCCCCCCCCAATAATCTGTAGTTATGAAACACAAACTTTATATGCGATTTTGAATGTTGCCCCCCACCGCCCGACAAACAATGACTAACCCTTGGTCATTTTAGTTTTTTTTAATCATTTTTATTTTCCTGAATTAATTAATAAAGAATTAATATTTTGACATCAAATCATCTATCCTAAGAAAAATAATGAAATTTTTTATTGCTTTTTATTTTACAGAAAATACAGGTATGTGGCCTACAGGAAAGTCGTGAGATGGTGTTGGGGCTGGCTCGGGAAGGACATCAGGGTGCAACTGCCAGCGTATCCTGAAGCGTATCCTGATGGACGTGGTCAGTACAAAGGGACCATCCTGCGTCGGTTGAGATGAGGATGTAACATCAACTATTGTCTTGCGAACTTTGAATGACTGTCATCTTCTATGTGATTGTCAGCCATCTTCTGTACGTTATTTGTGATCATCGGCTTTCATCTTCATATTCATCACAAATACTATTGTTTGAACTTCTCATGATGGTATGGTTGCTATGAACTTTGATCTCGACATTTGATTCTAATATCCAAGAGCTGATATTCGAACTTTTGCAAAACTGTGATCAAGCAACGATTTCTTATGAGGAAGAATGTTGAAATCTATATAAACAAGCAAAAAAAAAAAAAAAAAAAACACAACATGCCTTGTTCCTTCTCTTTTGTTATACACCCTGCAATGTAATTTGTTTTAATAATTTGAGCATTTCATATACAGTCAACCTGCCGAGTCAGAAAAGGGGAGAGAAAGAGAAAATGAAATTGAAAGAGAAAACGAAATTGAGAGAAAGAGAAATAACAGCATGGACACAACAAAGATAGACAGAGGAATAATGAGAGTAAGAGATAGATAGATAGATAGATAAATGGTTTATTCAAATCAAATCAAACATGTAAACAATAAATGTTCATTAATTCCATGCTTCGTAGCTAAAAACTAAATTGCGCAATGGATTACAAAATTAATTATTACAAGGTAAAATTGCACTTACTAATAATAAACTACTATAGATAATAATGCAACTCTTGGCACCGGCGTCGAACCGCTGCGCCACCCCAGTCACCAGTGGGGCACGAGACAGTAAGATCATATACCCCCCTGATGAATAGCACGACGCAACGGATCAACACCCATGCATACAATATACAGCACAATTCACAGTGAAATAATGAATACAAAAGGACAGGTATGGCGGAGGAGAGAAAGAAAGGGGGAGGGAGTATAAGAAAATGATAACTTTTACATGATTAAAACATTACATACTTAACAAGAAATACATGCGTAATACTGTACATGGCAATTAACTGGTTTAGAACATTTCAACTCTGAAAATAGTAGTGTTGCGTGTGGAAAATTACAAAAATATAAATCTATGTTTAGCATTAATCGTTCAATTTTCTATGAAATCACATTTTTTGTGAATGAATAAATACTATAGGTCATGCTTTAAATATGGTACATGTATTATAATGCTCGAGTGATTTATCCAGTTAATTAGTAAAGAGTAAAAAAAAAAACATGATCCAGTTTAGCTAAGGTGAATTAAATCTATTTAAAAAGGCTGGGATGTAATAAACAAGATCCTAAAACATAACCATGTTGGCAGGCGCAGGCACGGTAGGTTATCTATTGAAGTGAGGGGATGAACAAAGAAAACAACAACAGACATCCTCCTCACTAGCAATAGACCACTCCTCCTCGTCTACGCCCGAAGGTTTCATGCATTGGAAATAGGCAATAGTAATAATCCCAAACTATATGTTTTAAAAAACATTATTTTAATTTCAAAGTGAGTAATTAAAAACATGCAAATATCATTTAAAATCAGTCATACTAAAGTCTATTTGCCCCTTCTATTAGAGTTTATACACAGTTCAATTAGAGTTCAATAATTTTGTCATGAATGGAATAGGGCTGTTTTGGTATCGATTTGTACGACACCTAGGCTCACGATAACGTTTATTTTTTCTCAGATTTCTTGTTGGATTGTTTTCGGTGAACCAGTCACTACCAACTTCAGACCTAGATGCTTTCGTTGCAAAGTTAATGCACAAAGTCTTTCTACGTGTCTCTAGATCCACGATTCTAGCCAAATCAAGTGACGTATTGTAGGAGGTACCAGGAAAAATCAATCGTAGGGCTCGCTTCTGGATGCGCTCTAATGCTGCTGATTGGGCACAAGTCAAACTGGAGTGCCAAACAGGACACGCATATTCAAGAAGTGGTCTGACAAAACCAACGTAAACTGTCACAAGGTCAGCCGCAGGGAGATGGAACTCTTTCAAGCGTCTTAACATGTAGAGACGCGATGAGGCGCGAGAAATGGTGACAGATACGTGATCGTTCCACTTAAGGTCCCGTTGAAGAATTACTCCAAGCAGTTTGACAGCTGAGACCTCCTGTAGCACGTCGTTACACAGGCTGAAGTCGCGGTCAGGAAGTGGTGTTTTGCTGAATGTGACCCTCATGATATTGCACTTCTTGGGATTAAGTCGAACATTGTTTTGATTGCACCACTCCTCCAAATTGACCAAAACGTTCTGCATGAACTGACCGTGTTGATTAGAAGGCTCAGCAGAAGCGAGCGACATGTCATCAACATATTTCCAGCGCTCGACTTCTGACTCGCGCAAGGCATCGTCGATGAGGACAAGGAACAGAAGGGGTCCGAGGCGCGTTCCCTGGGGGACTCCCGCTGTCATTGATCTCGTAGAAGATAGTTCTCCATGATATCGAACTTGATTCTGTCTATCAGTAAGGAAACTGCATATCCACACAATGACCCATGGATGCACTTCTAAGGTGATGAGTTTGCGGATCAGGATTGTATGATCAACCCTGTCAAATGCACGGCTAAAGTCTGTTGACACTATAGAGGTTACGTTACTGGGTAGTTCGGCTCTTTTGCATAGGAAGTTGTAAACTTCTACCAGACAATGTGTGGTAGACCGACCAGCTCTTGCACCGAACTGCTTTGGATCCAGTTGATGGCGTACATCAGCCAGAAGTTTGCGATAAATGAAGACCTCAGCTATCTTAGCGAAGTGATCGGTTAATGAGATGGGTCTTTGTTTGTCGATGGATGATGCAGCCTTTTCCTTAGGAATAGGAGCAATAATTGCCCCTTTCCATTGTGATGGAACAGACCCAGAGTGATATGATGAGTTTAGAACTTCGCAGAGAGGTGATGCGAGCTCCACAGCAAACTCCTTGACAATGCGCGCAGGGATGCCGTCAGGTCCACTGGACTTTCCCGGCTTTATTCGATTCAGTTCCTTGTAAACTTCGTGGGGTTGAACTGTAAGCTGAGGTTTCGGAGTTGGCAAGTAGGCTGGCAAGCTCTGAAGATCAAGTTCCGGAATATCCTGACTAACATTTGCGAAATGGTCATTCACACAGTCAGCGATGGCTAAGTCGTCTAGTTCTGGCGACTCAGGTATGATGATGTTGCTTGCAGTTTTTGATGAAGTCATGATTTTCAAGTGTTTATACCAGCTAGAAGGATTCTCACGTTTTAGTTTCAAAACACGGTCCTTGTAGAAATTTTTCTTCAGCTCAGTTTTCTTGTTCTGAACTTTATTTCTTAAGCGTTTCCATTCCTCAGTCCGGTCATTACTGAAAGCCTTTTGACGTTGACCAATCAGTGATTTCAAATACGGCGTCACCCACGGCTTGTCACGTGGATGCATCTTCACCGATTTCATGGGCAGGTATTCGTCCATTGCGTTTTGTAGTGAAGCATACAATTTGTCACACTTCTCTTGGGCACTAGAGCTTGCCATGACATCATCCCAAGTATGTTGAGATATCCATTGACCAAACTCACGAATCGCAGAGTCTTTCACAGGACGAACAAATTTCCTGACTGCCTTGTTTTTACTGTTGGTTTTGTTGAGTTTTGGTTTCCAGAGAACTGCATTGTGATCACCCCCTAGGCCAAGAGGTGAGAGGATCTCAGGTTCAGAATACCACTGATGGATGTCAGTTAAAATGAGATCCAAGATTGCAGTACCGAGTGTTGCTTTCCTAACAACTTGTCTCAGGTTACATGTACTGGTCAACTCGGAAGTATCAGCTCTATTAAAATCCCCGAGGATAACAACCCCAGCATCTCCATTGTCAGGAGGGGAATACACAGCAGCAACATAGAGACAAGAAATGTCTCTCGGTAAACGTTTAGGTCGAAGTTGTAACCAAATTACTTCGTGGTGCGGATGTGGGGGAAGAAAGTTCACTGTTTTGGGCATCGACTCTGGTTTGGCATAAATCGCGACACCACCACCCCTTCTGGAATCTCTAGATTTGGCAAAAACTAAATAATCATCCACTGCAAAGTCACTTTCAGGTTGATCTGCTCTAAACCACGTTTCAGTCACCACACAGACGTCACAACACAATTCATGAACAACAACGGAAAATTCATCAAGTTTATTGTTTAGTGAACGAGGATTGCACATGTAAATAGTAGGCAAGTTCCCTTGTGATTGGCGATCAGTACTCACAGTTGTAATAGTTTTAATTGGGATGAGTTGGGGTGCCCGAACTCCAGGTGGTTTGGGCGTTCTTCTCCTCCTTCCTTCGACGACAGCAATCTTTCTCCACTTGTGAGAACCGGCGCGACAACCACGGCGTTTATCGATACCCAGTTCTTTTATTCTTGCAAATACGTTGTCAGGGAGCCGTGAATGGGAAGTGTTACGTAACGACAAAAGTTCATCTTTTGTGTAGCGGTACTGGTCTGAATAGCGTTCAGTGTCAATTGAATTCTGTACCAGCTGAAACTCCATCGTCACCCCAGCCAAGAGCGCCGGCCTACTCTCGGCTATGAAGTGAGGTAGTGATGCGATGACAGAAAGCACCACAATAATCCCAAAATTATCCAACATATTTGGGGCAAGTTTATCCGCAGAAACAGTAATTTCACAACAAAGTTCAATGTTCACACGCTGGCTGGGCATACGCACACACGTCTATCCATAGCATCAATTCCATGTACACACACAAACAGGAATTTTAGACCAATTTTAGTGAAAGTTGTGAGAGCTAAATAGATTGGCGTCAGTCAAATACAGCGCCTGACGAAATTTCAAATGTGTAATAAATGGTAAGCATCGTAATAAATCCAGGAAATCCTTTATTTTGCATCAAATCTATCCTCCCAAAAAGGATAAACCTTAACCCTATCTCCCACTCTGTCCCTCTTCCTCTCTCTTTCTCCTCTTCCACCCTCCACATTCCCATCTCTCTATCCCACTTCCTCTCTCTGTTTCCTCTTCCATATTTCCATCTCTCACTCTGTCCCTCCTCTCTTTCTCCTCCTCCACATTCCTATCTCTCAC